CATATACCCTTCTCCCTTTTACACACTTTCGTACATTTATACAGAAGGAATGTTATGTTCCATTCGTTATTATATTTTTCTTATAGCCGCAGACTTTTAGTTGATGATCAATAATTTCTCAACGAATGAAAACTTAAATTTCCCCTGCACACACGTACCTACTCATATCTAAAAGCCAATTCTTTTCACTCCTTCCATTTTGATTGTAAACGAAATGAAGGATAACGATACGTAGAGGTCATTCACTTTCAAATTAAATAAACAAAGAATTGACTATCATTATAGTTTCAGATTTTGCATTTTACCAAGATCCTTTATGTTTTCTTAATTGGATAAAACCGAAAAAAAACATATTTTGACTGCTAATCGTAAATAGGTACAAAAACGAACTGTAAAAGATTTCCAGACTCGCGTCCTTTTTATAATAGGTATCACAATTACCCTGTGCGTCATGTACTATCTTCGAACTTAAGAAGAAATTAGAGCGTTCAAGGAAAGCCTTACCGTTATTATTTCTAATTATAGAGAAAGTAAAGAAGCGCAAAATTAAGTTGATGTTTTAATTATATAAAGGGTTTCAATTACTAACAATAATTTCTAATTGTTAACCAAACATTATTAGTGGTTGGAAAATAAAACTTAAATGTAAACTATCGTGGATGAGAGGGTTACTGAAGTTTATTAATGTTCGACTACGTAACAGAATTATATTGAAATTTTTTATAATCCAATATTTGATAGCAGCAGAAGGAAAAAGACAGAAGTTAATTGGAGTATTTCTTAATTAAGTGATCATTCTATAAATACCCAATACGTAATATATTTTCTCGTGCTTACCAAGCTTTAATTTGTCGGTTTTCTTCAGGTGTTACGTTAAAATTGAAAAGTGTAATTTTTGTTTTTGCTTCGATTTAGCATATGGCGATGAAGTAGTTATTTTATTAATAGATTGTGTATCTTATCAATAAAATATAGATAGCCGAAGCTCGGTATATTTCTGAATGTTTTTTTAGTTAAATTTACATTTCCTTCTACAACAAGGAAACGATTTTAAAACTTTATGAACTTTTCGTTTCATATAGTTAATTTATATAACCCGAATAAATTATTTACAACGCATTACAACTTCCCTTCAACAAGGTTTTCATTTACTTTTTTGTGTTCGCAAATAATTAAAATGTAAAATTAATAAAGGGGGTAAAATAGAAACTTCGTATTACATCTGCCGTTCCATTATACATATACGTATATTTATTTATTTTATCGATAAGGTGTGTATTTACACACTTGACAAAATTCTGTTCTGTTGGTACGGTTTAATAAAATATATTTAAAATTATACGTGACATTGTTACACGAAAACAATAGCGTCAAACAGGATTACGTTATTTTTTTCGTTTTTGAAATGTTTTATTAATTGTTAATTCCTTAAAATAAAAAAGTGAAATATTTTTACTTTTTTGGACTAATGAAAATGGAAAACAAAAAACGAATGGATATTATTGCATGTTTATCTCAAAATTGTACGAGAATGATACATTCCGATCGTGTATTGTGTGCAATTTTTTTTGAACTGAGGGAAACGCAAAATTTATTATTAGGGTTAGTTGGTTGTAAGGGAGGGGGACGAATATCAATGGACGTATTTACCTTTCTTGGTTATTATACCGGGAATGTTGGTGGACTGTTGAACAGTTAAAAGTTTGTGCGTGAAATTTTTCTTTAATGCGCGATTTTCTATTGGATAAACAAAGGTACAAAGTTCTCTTCCATTTATTAATAGTTGTTGAAGAAAATCAATTATTAAGAATTTAAATCTTTTCTAACTAAAAGGAATTTTATTTTGGACCATTTACACAAGTTTAAAAGTGTAAAAATTCTGTGGATTTAATTAATTAAAGAAATTGCATTACTTTGTAATAGGAAAGAGCACTTGTTTACTTAGTTAATTTTAAGTAAATTCTGTTTTAGTTGTGGGAAATTTATTTGTTTATTTCATTGGCAATAGAACAACGACAACAACGTTTTGTTTACACACTTGTACCATTTTTTCGTAGTGTTTAGCTATCAGGAGTGCGTTTTTCTTTTACTTTGCGTAATATGTGTTCTATTCTATTCTATTCTGTGTTTGTACATGTTATGGTAGTGATGATAAATATCAGTGGCTGCAGAAAGGAGCGCTTAGTTTGCATGAAATGAGAAAAAGAGAGAATGAGACCTGTAGGTATCCTTACGAAGGTGTTTTTCCAGAGACCTTTGAATAAGTTGCATGTCGCCTCTAAAAGAAGACGATGACTTCCGTTACTCTGACCACGACATCAGAACCAATGAATGGAAGTTTCTCAACATCATTAGACGAAAGTGTTACAAGTAGACCGGCCTTTGAAACCCCAAAGCCTGTTAAACGTTGCCTCGCAGCTCCCCTAGACTCTTACAAAAAACGCCGGAAACAAGCTACGCCTGTAAGAATTTCCGCGACAGAACCTCAGGATGTTGTACACTCACCAGAAGGTAAGCCCTTGGATTCACCAGTGCCAGAACCCGAAATTAAATGCTCAGAATGCCACTTCCTATTCGATTCGTCTGACCAACTGCACAGTCACATCGCCAACGAACATCCAAATTTCCATTGCAAAAGGGAACCCGAGGAAAATTTAAATTACGAACCACAAACCCAAAACGCCTTCGACATATCGTCAACGAGAAATGATATTTCGTGGATTGGTGATATTCAGAGTAAAGACTTTCTCAACCTAAATTTCCACGGATTAGTTTTTTCCCCGGCAAGTTCTTTGTTTATGTCGTTACCATCTTTTCCCCAAACTGATAATCCTTCGTCGAGGCAATCGGTCAGAATATTTAACCCGGATGCCTTTTGTGACCTTTGCAACAAAGAATTCTGCAACAAATACTTTCTAAAGACCCATAAAGCCAACAAACACGGTATTTATGCGGATCCGCCGTCTTCTGAAGCCCTTGCAATTTCTCCATTCATTTCAAGTATGATGAAAATACCCACTACAAGTTTTAATTGTGATATACCCTCACTAAAGACAGAATTGAAACAGCAACCTCAAAAACCTCAATTTTGTGATATGCTTTCGGCAATTCACACAAGCAAAGCTTTTTCTAAATCCTCAAAGCAAACCGTTACAAACTTTACCGAAACCGAAAACAAAGAGGTGATAGATAATCCTGAGCAAAGCACTTCCGAGACCGAACAATTTACGGCAGCTATTAAAAATTCGGACGATAACGAAGGCAGCTGTAGTCCAGGAGTAATTACAGCAAGCATGTTCCAATACAAAAGCGACTCTAACTTAGACCAGGACGGACTAAATTATTCTACTTCCAACAAATCGTCGCCTGCTCCGTCGTCCAAGGATATGGACGCGTCGATGAAATACAAAAAGGCCGGAATAATGAATCCGAAAGCTTTTTGTGAAATATGTTGCAAAGAGTACTGCAACAAGTACTTCCTACGAACGCACAAAATGAAGCGACACGGCATATACGTACCTGACGAAGGACGTGACAGTAAGGATAACAAATCGGAACCGTTTCAGTGGAACCAGAACATCCAAACGAGTCCTCTCAATCTTATAATGAACGAACAGCAAAGCAATTCCAATTCTGCATCCGAAAGAGACCGGAAAACGTCGACCCCTCAAGATTACAGATGCGACATTTGCGGAATTAATTTCCAAAATAGCTCTCTGTCACATTTACATAATGTCAGCGTCCACTCATCGGAAAAAGAAACTTCAACAAGCGACATCATCAATAGAGAACATCATCTTCGAGGAGGAAAAAGTTTAGATCTTCAGACGACATCGACGGAAAGGGGATCGTGTAGTACGGAACCTATCAACGAAGATCTTCAAAAGTTGCAAACAATGATTCTTCAACTCAACGAACTGGACGTGGGCAAAACCAATTTATTGTGCAATATCTGCAGTAAAGAATACGACAGTAAATACACGCTTCAAGCTCATATGATGTCGACTCACGGGCTTTTACTTGAAGATGTCGCACCAGGGGATAAATGTGGAAGTGGTTTGGGTCCAGGAACGAGTAGCAGAGATGTCGGGAGCAGTACCAGCACCAGCAACAGTACCATTTGTGATTTGTGCGGAAAAGATTTTTTCGACGTCGAAGGAGTTAAAAAACATGTGCTCGAGTGTCATCCGATCAATTTCAAAGAATCGAAAGAAAACAATTACATGAACACGGAAAAAACAGCGAATAAAATTATGGTTCCTGGCACTCCGACATCGTCGGAAAGACGTTCGGCGCCGGTGCTCACGCCGAGCAGCAGTTACTGCGAAATATGTAACAAAGAACTTTGCAACAAGTACTTTATGAAAACGCACATGCAAAGAATGCATGGGATAGAAATAGAAAACGGTGCACAAATTGGTGGTGTGGTGTGTGACATCTGTAACAAGGAGTTGTGCAGCAAATATTTTTTACGAGTTCATAAACACAATACGCACGGCATCGCCGAGTATAACTCAGGTTTCCTTCAGAGCCGCAAAGGTGACGCCGAATCAATTCCAATGCTTCCTACCGAAAGCGATCCCGCCTTGAAGCCGATAGATCTGGCCGATTTGAGTCACAGGTACTTCTCACACTTTACCGAAGTTTGTTCAATTTGTAGCAGGAGATTCAGGAGCACCAAGTGGTTGAAGGCTCACCTCTTGAGCGACCACGGTCAAGCAGGTGCCGAAAAGTGGGTAGAATTAGAACAAAACATTACGCCGTCGAATGTTAACGTTAATGTTAATTTCAACAGTAAAGCCGTTCCTCAGGTCGAAAGAACAAGTCCATTAATCAAAATACCAAACGGAAATCAAGAGACCAACTCGAAAATAAAGACCCAAAACGTATTTTCTAGCATTTTTGGTGCCGACGAAAATTCCATAAAAACGTACGATTGCTCTTATTGCCCGTTCTCAACGCCAGTTCTCCCTTTATTACTTGTACACGAACGTTCGCATGATATGCGTAATACATCGCCGGAAAATGAAAATACTAATGTGGTTAAATGTCCCGTTTGTGCCAAATCGTTTCCACAGACAGGAACTCTACAGCACCATATCGTCAGCGAGCATCCTTTCTTTCATTTGTCGCCCCAGGAGGAGAGTGAAAACCATCAAAACGGAGTGCCGAAGGATGGCTGTGATAACTTTCAGGAAGAATGGAAAATTGACGATTCTTTCAACGCAATGACCAACAATAAGGATGATAAAAGTAAGAATCGATTGAAACGTAAGCTGATCAATTCGGAAGTGTCGTTCGAAACGACTCAGACGCTTAAGGAAGTTGTGAAGAAATTTCAACTTCCAGCGACGTACGCTTTACCTCTAACGTCATCGGATGATGACGAAGCGGTCTTTCCAGGTTACATAATGCAAGCCTTCACCCTGAACGAGTTAGCCTCGGAAAGAAGTTTTGTACCGTCCGTGGTATTCCTTCCGGTGCTACAGAAACTATCCAACCCCTTAAATGTCACCTTCAACTTGAGCCCAGCTTGAATACACATACAACGTACAAGTAATGTTTCTTTTCATCCACGGACGTGGCGTCGTAGAATTTCTTTAAAATGAAACAAACAAAACAAAACAAAAAAAAAAAAGAGATGGCGTAGCAACANAATAAAATGTGATCTAGTTTCATTTGAAAATAAAAGTTCCTGGAATTTATTAACTAAAATTAGTGGACTAATAATTACAAACTACTAATAGTAGTACAAACGTGGAAAAAATACGTGACAAATACATCTAAAAAGGATCGCAAAATTCGTCACATATTTGTGTCCACTCAATGTATGTATCATTTAGCTTTTGCCAAAACGTTTAGTGGCATTTTATTTTGTACCTTCAACTCTTATTTTATTTTTGAAATTCTATTATGAAAATTAATTTAATTTTGTCTGAGTAGGATCGGGCAAAATGTAAATGTATCAGTATTACTTTATAATTAAGGAAAAGTAATAAAACTACTATAAAAATTAAACTTTGCATATTTATTAATACTTATTTATATTCAAGCAGGTGCATAGTTGTGTATATGTAAAACAAAAATTTAATTAAGCTGTTTTAGGTAGCGAAGGTCCAGGTACATGATTTTTAAATTATCATCTAATTCTTCCACTTAACGTTCTAAAACAAAAAACAAATAAGTCAACGCAAAATGTAAATCTTGGTGAACATACTAAAGAATGTAGGGCACTTTCAGCATAAAAAAATTCTTCAGATTGTGCAGGCAATTGATTTTTATATAAAATTAATCCTAATCTGTCTCTCTGATTGATGTATGAATCCACAGCAAATCTATAGCATTTCATTTGTTTTGCAAGGTGAAAGCTTATATCACTATCAGGTATACAATTCAATAGTTCAATTATCACATTTTTCGGGGGATTGTGCCTAAACAGACCCAGCAGAAGAATTTGTACATCAATTACCGATTTTATTACATTCTTCTTAGTAAGCCAATTCTAAAAATGTTCATATATTTTTAATACAAGTTGTCTTTAAAAAAAAGAAGACTTACAGATTTAATAAACATTGACAATATTTTGTCCCACTGTTCTGCAGCAGCCAATGTATTTAAAAGAACCCATTCGTACTGCAAGTCGCTTATTTTCATCAATTTTTTAAATTCTATAATTTTATTTTCGTCAGCACCTTTACTTTTCCAAGTGCTATTGCATAGATTTGTCAGTTCTTCTGTTACTGATTGGCTTTTACTATTTTCAGTTTTTTGCCACTCTATTTAAAACTTAATTAGAATAATTGTGTAATAATAGTATTATAATCTTACTTAAAAAATTTTGATAATCAAGTAAAACAGATTTTTCCCTCTCTGAAACAATTTCTCCAAAATGTTCCACAATAAAATGCCCTAATTTTGATAACACTCCTTCAACACTTGGAATATCTACGCTAGCCATATAAAATATCTCAATCTGTTGGTAAAAAGGAGTATAAATAATAACTACATAATTTCCTTTGAATAGACCTACAATTTCTGAACTAGATCCCACTGACAATAGTGTATTTGATAATTGTTGGGTTTGCAATCTGCTCCCTAAGTATGATAAGTACTGGTGCCATGCTTCTTTCCTTTTACTTATTATACGATGAAAATTTGATGAATTTAATGTATTCAATAAAAATAGAACAACCTACAAATACTCTTAGGAATAAATAAGAATGAACATTAACAAATAGCTATACATTTAATATAACATCACCATCCATAGTGGTGGTGGCTTCATCAAGTAATTCTTCTTTTTCCATTAATGAATGATAACATATCAAGTTATACGGTTGGTTTAGTACCATTCTTTTGATAGTCTCTTTTACTTCTCTATATGCAGGCTTACTTTGTAAGACATCATCCAAAACTAAATATAATTACTAACTTTTTAAAACTACATCATGAAATATTTACCAGCATCTAAGTTCTTTTTTGATATAACTGTTTGAATAGGTAAAACATATAAATCAGTGTCCAGTGGTGATGATGAGAAAGCTGATTCAATTGAGTTTGCCTCAAAAGTAAGTGTACTGTTTGTAAACAGCCCTTTCGAAGTATCCTACAATTTCACATTTTAAGCATTTATTTTCCAAACAACAACGACGTATTTAATACTTACATCTTCATCATCAAAACTGAACCCAGTGCTTAAGCTTCTATTCCAATAATCATCTGTTTTATTTGTTGACATAACTTTACTTTTATTACTATGAAAGAACACTTAACAAAAGCAACATAAAACCATTTCAGAAATACAAAGAATGGGCTCTATTAACTCTTATTTTTACAAATGTTTAAATATAAACAAAACAACTAATTTTACGAGGTTATGTTATATTGAATAAGCATGTAATAACAAAGAAAACTGTATTGCCTGCAGAGTTCAAAAGTTAGTTCCTGCTTATTAGCGTCATGATCGCCCTGTCGGTTAAAAGTGGAACTTTGAACATTCAAAATTTAAACGTGAATTTATGAATAAACGAAGAAGGTTTTTCACCAGTACTTCAGTAAGTTTTTAAATAATAATTCATAAAACAAAGTAGAGAGTTAAAAAAATTCTAATGTATTTTGTTATTTCTAATCGTAAATTGTATTATAAGAAAATGTGGTATTTTCTGTTTTTCTTTCTTTTATGAAAACGATTTTGGAGTTAATACAACTTTCCTTTTTTGAACTTAAAATAGAAAATAAGAACACAAATTGAAGCCAATACGTCAAAACGTAAGCTACAAAACTTAATAGATATTAAAAAATTCAATTACTCATTATAAACGTATTGTACAGTCAATAAAAGAAATAATGACTCAACATTCTAAATACATGGGCTTCTTGTTAGAAACGCAGACTTCGATCAAATCAAAAATGTTATGTAATTATACGTGTTTTTGAAAATTTTTATAGGTTTTAGTACAAAATATGTGATTAAATTTAAACTGACACTACTGCATAAAATTCCATATTCACATCTGGAAATTAGCTTATTCGCATAGATAATGTAATCTTCGCGTAGGTCGATGATAAAGTGTTGAATGTGTTGTCTTTTGTGTAAAAAAATGTTTCATTATTTTCTAAACTTATTGTACAAAGCTTTCAAATGGCGACTATATCTAAATTATACGGAGTTGCGCACCACTGATCTTCCATATTTGAAGCTACCCCTAAATTATTAGTAGCTAAGCCGCGCTGTTGCAAGGTGCTCGCTTTGAAATTTTTCTAATGCCGGGCAAAGGTCTATGTAAGTGAATAATTTTTAATATTTGTGGTTTTTGCGGTTTTATTTTGCTGTTGCTTTTTTCTAATCACGCTTAAGATCGAAATTCAGCTATCTGTTCATAACAAAACGTAGTTCATATTGAACGTACTTATTTACAATCTAAAACAAAATAAACTTAACTTTTTAATTGGGTAAAGTTTTTAACATATTGCTATTTTAGATATTGCTAATAATGAAACTGAGTCCACAGAATGTTTGACTTTTTTCGTAATTTTTGATAAAAAGAAATAGTTTAATAATTAGTATTTTTTTATTTCTGTAATCACTTGTTCTTAGTTTACATATGTAATACAGATTGCCGATGATAACTTTATTTCTTTTTTTATAAAGTTTGTTAAAAGTGGTTGCAATAAGTAGTGCGTGATCTCTTTAAATTTTAATAACTTTTGTGTTCATGCACGACAATTTTGGTACCTGACTATAACTGTGACATACGTTTCTCAGATTTATTTTAAATTAAATTGAAATTGAGATATTATTATAAAAATGAATGCTGCATCTCAATTCTAATCGAAAACTGAGGTGTGAATTAAAAATTTAATACTTGGCCAATTTTTCATTGTTTGCGTCGATGAACGTGATTGTATTTTTTAAATATGTTTATCAAAAATTAATGAAATATTAATATCGGAAATTTGGACTGGGAATATCATCATTGTAGTTTAATTTATATCGATAAGGATAAATTTGAGAAATTTGTATTGGTCTTAGGCGTGTCACAATATTTCTTAAAATTTAGGGTGCGCAACTACACGGACGCTTTGACCAGTGGTCTAGAAGCGTAGGAGGAATTATTGATCGTTGATACACGCACACGCATATAACATATACCCTTCTCCCTTTTACACACTTTCGTACATTTATACAGAAGGAATGTTATGTTCCATTCGTTATTATATTTTTCTTATAGCCGCAGACTTTTAGTTGATGATCAATAATTTCTCAACGAATGAAAACTTAAATTTCCCCTGCACACACGTACCTACTCATATCTAAAAGCCAATTCTTTTCACTCCTTCCATTTTGATTGTAAACGAAATGAAGGATAACGATACGTAGAGGTCATTCACTTTCAAATTAAATAAACAAAGAATTGACTATCATTATAGTTTCAGATTTTGCATTTTACCAAGATCCTTTATGTTTTCTTAATTGGATAAAACCGAAAAAAAACATATTTTGACTGCTAATCGTAAATAGGTACAAAAACGAACTGTAAAAGATTTCCAGACTCGCGTCCTTTTTATAATAGGTATCACAATTACCCTGTGCGTCATGTACTATCTTCGAACTTAAGAAGAAATTAGAGCGTTCAAGGAAAGCCTTACCGTTATTATTTCTAATTATAGAGAAAGTAAAGAAGCGCAAAATTAAGTTGATGTTTTAATTATATAAAGGGTTTCAATTACTAACAATAATTTCTAATTGTTAACCAAACATTATTAGTGGTTGGAAAATAAAACTTAAATGTAAACTATCGTGGATGAGAGGGTTACTGAAGTTTATTAATGTTCGACTACGTAACAGAATTATATTGAAATTTTTTATAATCCAATATTTGATAGCAGCAGAAGGAAAAAGACAGAAGTTAATTGGAGTATTTCTTAATTAAGTGATCATTCTATAAATACCCAATACGTAATATATTTTCTCGTGCTTACCAAGCTTTAATTTGTCGGTTTTCTTCAGGTGTTACGTTAAAATTGAAAAGTGTAATTTTTGTTTTTGCTTCGATTTAGCATATGGCGATGAAGTAGTTATTTTATTAATAGATTGTGTATCTTATCAATAAAATATAGATAGCCGAAGCTCGGTATATTTCTGAATGTTTTTTTAGTTAAATTTACATTTCCTTCTACAACAAGGAAACGATTTTAAAACTTTATGAACTTTTCGTTTCATATAGTTAATTTATATAACCCGAATAAATTATTTACAACGCATTACAACTTCCCTTCAACAAGGTTTTCATTTACTTTTTTGTGTTCGCAAATAATTAAAATGTAAAATTAATAAAGGGGGTAAAATAGAAACTTCGTATTACATCTGCCGTTCCATTATACATATACGTATATTTATTTATTTTATCGATAAGGTGTGTATTTACACACTTGACAAAATTCTGTTCTGTTGGTACGGTTTAATAAAATATATTTAAAATTATACGTGACATTGTTACACGAAAACAATAGCGTCAAACAGGATTACGTTATTTTTTTCGTTTTTGAAATGTTTTATTAATTGTTAATTCCTTAAAATAAAAAAGTGAAATATTTTTACTTTTTTGGACTAATGAAAATGGAAAACAAAAAACGAATGGATATTATTGCATGTTTATCTCAAAATTGTACGAGAATGATACATTCCGATCGTGTATTGTGTGCAATTTTTTTTGAACTGAGGGAAACGCAAAATTTATTATTAGGGTTAGTTGGTTGTAAGGGAGGGGGACGAATATCAATGGACGTATTTACCTTTCTTGGTTATTATACCGGGAATGTTGGTGGACTGTTGAACAGTTAAAAGTTTGTGCGTGAAATTTTTCTTTAATGCGCGATTTTCTATTGGATAAACAAAGGTACAAAGTTCTCTTCCATTTATTAATAGTTGTTGAAGAAAATCAATTATTAAGAATTTAAATCTTTTCTAACTAAAAGGAATTTTATTTTGGACCATTTACACAAGTTTAAAAGTGTAAAAATTCT